GCATAAGCCGGGCGCCGCCCTTTTAAAATCCCAGCTGGTTCGAACCCCGTGCCGCGCGGCTACACGCGGCCCGAACTAGGTAGTTCGAACTAGCGGGGTAATGTAGGCATACCGCACTTGCAAAGGAAGCCCGGGATTTGAATTTCCCGGGCTTCATTTGCATAAGCCGGGCGCCGCCCTTTTAAAATCCCAGCTGGTTCGAACCCCGTGCCGCGCGGCTACACGCGGCCCGAACTAGGTAGTTCGAACTAGCGGGGTAATGTAGGCATACCGCACTTGCAAAGGAAGCCCGGGATTTGAATTTCCCGGGCTTCATTTGCATAAGCCGGGCGCCGCCCTTTTAAAATCCCAGCTGGTTCGAACCCCGTGCCGCGCGGCTACACGCGGCCCGAACTAGGTAGTTCGAACTAGCGGGGTAGTGTAGACATACCCTCTGTCTTTAAGATGCCACAAGACTCCTCGTTGTTTTGACTGCATGCTGGCGCTTATGGCGGTGTAACTTCTGTTGCTTGGGGTGAAATATTCACATCTCTGAGCAACGTAAGTTTTATAGGCAAAGGTGGTAGTGTAGATGCAGCCCTTTACTTAAGCTTCATCTATGCTAGACAGCTTTTAGCATGGCAGAGGCAGCAGAGAGGGCAAGACACAGCCGTGTCGCTAGAAGTTGGACAGTGTAGCCTCCATTTGTCGGCTCTTTTGCCAACAAAATACTTCCACCCCCCCAATGAACGTTGTTCACTTTGTCAGCAGTAGAGTGCTCCTGATGATAAAGCACTGTTCACACTGGCACTTCAGTTGGAGTTTGTGATTCAGGAGAAATGGCTTAGCCGCAGGCTCAAATAGTACTTCAATTAATATAAATTAAACTCATATTGCTATCTTTATCTATGAATTTTGCTTGCAAAATACTATCTTTAAAACAGATCAATCCAGATTGTTCTTGGCAATGTGTGAATAGAATATCGTGCATTTATGACACAATAGCCATGCTGTAAATGTTCTGATTTTATCATAGCTTTAAACCAAGTAAAAATAAACAATGTGAAGCTATGGAAGTAGAACTCTCTTTGTAATGCATGATTGGATCCTTAGATGTTTGAGGCAAGCTTCATTGCTTGTGTAACTGTATAACATCAGGGGAGTTACAGCATGGTTAAACTTGACCTTTGAAGTTTAACATTAACGAAATGTTCAGGTGGCATTTCTGGAATGCTGTCAGAGATAACGCAGTGGAATTTGGATTAAATATTTAATTTCAACAAGAAGCTGCCTGTATCCTGAATACAAGCGAAACATGTTTTTCTAATGGTGAGTATGAAATTAAATCACCTTGTAATGAGCTTATTTAAATTTGATCTAGAAGATTCATCTTCCTCTTTTCATGGACGTGTAAACCCTGGGGCCAGCCACCATGATTTCCATGAATATATTGGTGTGTGATCAAACTGCAAAGAAATAAATGAGCTGAAATGTACATCTTTTGTAAGCTATAAATTTGGAATGCAATTGAGAGGACAATGAAGCCAGTCTATCAAAATGCAATGATGCTTATAATAGTAATTTTCAATATATCCTAGAACAGCAGTACTCTTTGTTGGGTTGTCAGGAAAGAGAATGAACTCAGAATATCAAGATTCAAAACAGGTTAGTTTAGCAGAGATCTGTCCTTTAAAGATCAATCACAGACTGCTAACACAAGAGTAATCTAACAATCGACTAAATGCATTTTAAAGTATTCTGCTAATAGGGGGCTACACAAATGTTTGTCTATTAAAAGGCTCTATTCTTTAATGAAATCAGGATTAGATTAGTATCCTGTGAATATTCATTAATTATAAATTATAAATTATTACTATTAGTTTCTTGTTCTTGGCTTTTAAATGCACTGAACGTGTATTCTAGAGCTGAAAGAACATCTGGACATTCTAAGGACTTAATTCTTCCCTCTGATTCATGTAAGATTCTTGGTGGCATCAGTGGGAACTGCACACTTGTGCAAAATTTCATCCTAATTTCGCCTGCTGTGAAAGATTTCAACTTAATTAGACCTAAATAAAAATATATCCCCACCTGTGTATCTTCTCTCTCATCTTGAGGCAGGATATTATTTAGTAGTACTAGTAGTTAGTATTAGTACTGTAGCATTTATTATTTATTTATACTACGGTATCAAAGGCTCCATTCAGGATCTGGTACCATTGTGCATGGGGCTAGGTGGCTGAAGATCAAGGTATCCCCCATCTACTGTATCCAAGGTGAGTTTGAGCAGAATGGAGAATCTACCACATTGTCTGTACACACATGAATTTTATTAAGCTGCTTTGCTTTGCTGAGTAGTGTAAAGGAGGAAGAATATACCATTGATTCTGGCCCTAAAAAGTTAAAAGGAAAATGATAAAACAAAGAACTTTGTTATGCTAATTACAAGAAAGTAATACAATTATAGAACTGAATAGAAACTAGGAGGAGAAAGAGAATGGATAAAGTCAATGGCAACTGCACAGAGGGTCATAACTAAGGAGTGGAATCACCTGACTTTGGACACAGGAGAGAGAGGCGCAGCTAAAATGTGAACTATTACAGAAGCGGGGGAGGTTTGGTTTAATACAACGAGAAAGTTTCTGGAAGGCCAGCAAACCAAGATTCCAAATAATGCTAATGAGCTCATCTTATTTTTCTGTCTTGTGTCTTCAGTGTTGAGTTTACTGTGTGGTTTTAACACAATAAATGTGAAAGCTGCAGATAAATACTGCAAACATATACTTAGTGTTACTGATTATCAAACATCATTATAAACTTAGCTGGTTCTACCTGTTTAAATTTGAAGGGAATGTAGGAAACAAGTTATAGTATGCTCTGAAGTGATGAAAAAAGATAATTGTTCTGAAACAAAATATAAACCTTGGTAAGTAGTAAGACAGGATTCACACCCATTTCAAAAGGTGCAGAAAGTCAGTTTTTCAAGTTCTTCTAGATTAAAGGTGCAGCTGAAACACTATTGAAATAGAAGAGCAGAACTTTAACTAAATTATACTTAAAGTGAAACATTTTTCATGGTGTTAAGAAAACATAGATGTCATGATCATTTAAGTATCTGAATCAGGCTCTTTAACAACTCTTCAGCTTGAGGTTCATTCAACAGCAATCTCCGTTCATCTTCTGCTCAACATTTATTTTCAGGAAATAAATTTTCACACTTGGTTGATCATAACTATGAAAAATTATGTAAGTAAAATTAGTTGAATTCAGAATTGTCTTTTTTTTAAAAAAACCTACACCCTCGTGGCCACTACAGCCTAGTGCCAACCAAGTGTGTGTTTAGCATATTTTGACTGATTAAATATAAACCATGCAATAGATTAGCTGCTGAAAAAACAAATACGTTGGTAAAAGTGCATAAGTATCTAAGACCAAGTATAAAGAGTGATGGGACTAGCCAGTTAGCAGATCAGAGGAGTTGATTATTGTGTTCTTGTGTTTTACTCACGGTACAAAATTGCAAGCTCTTCATTTTGGACAGTGAATGACTGTTAGTCTGAAGAATAATTATGCTTATGAAATGAATGAGTGTTTTGTGTTAATAAAATCTTCATTCAGAAAAGGGCAACAAAAATGATTAGGGGTTTGGGATGGGTCCCATATGAAAAGAGATTAAAAAGACTTGGACTTTCAGCTTAGAAGAGAGGAGACTAAGCGGGGAGATGATAGAGGTCTATAAAACCATGACTGGTGTGGAAAAGGTGAATAAAGAAAAGTGATTTACTTATTCCCACAATATAAGAACTAGGGTCACCAAATGAAATTAATAGGCGGCAGGTTTGAAACAAACAAAAGGAAGTTTTTCTTCACTCAGCGCACCGTCAACCTCTGGAACTCCTTGCCAGAGGATGTGGTGAAGGCTAGAACTTTAACAGGGTTCAAAAGAGCTAAATAGATTCCTGGAGGTTAGGTCCATCCATGGCTATTAGCCAGGATGGGTAGGAATGGTGTCCCTAGCCTCTGTTTCTGTGGAGGTGGGTGACAGGGGACAGATCATGTAAGGATTACCTGTTGTGGTCCCTCCTTTTGGGGCATCTGGTGGAGGCCACTGCCGGCACATAGGATACTGGGATAGATGGACCTTTGGTCTGACCCAGTATGGCCATGCTTATGTTCATGGTTCTAGTTTTACTCAGAAGAAAAAGTGTGTGGGGTGGGTTAGGGTGGGAGGAAATCGCATCATCCTGGTAGTAGAGTGCTGTCTGAATCCGATTTCTACACAGTACAGGCACTCCATGCCCTTCTTAACATAGGTATAAAAAGCAATGGAGACAGTGAGGCACACCAGAACCATAGGGTATATACTTTACATGGCTCTCACCTTCCTGATCTGCACTGCTATTCTTAATAGTGTATTGTCCCCCTGAATCTTGCTGCAGAATTTAAAGTCTTTCTCTGCCCTCCCTTTCACATTCATCTCCTCTTGTACTTCCCTGATCAGAATGCTAGAGCAGCTACAGTGGAGGGCAGGGGCATTAAATATACCTGGCAGCAAGCAAGAGCACTGGGTGAAGAGGGAGACTGATAGGAGCAAGTAATAGGGGGAGTCCAGTCTTTGCCCTCACCCTTGTCAGCCAGAGTAGCTGGCCAAGTACACAGAGGGAAGCAAGCTGTTCTATATAAGTGGCTGAAGCAATTTATTCTTCCCCCAGTGGAAGGGCACAGTAGGTAAGAAATTCCAATTGAATCAGAGTTTGTTCTTTGGCCTGCACTGGAATCAGTACAGTTTATGCGTCTCCCCTGACCTGATGACGCTCTCTGTGTGGCTGTAAAGCCTGTCCCTCTCACCAATAGACATTGGTCCAGTAAAAAGATATTACTTCACCCACCTTGTTCCCTAACTTAGGGTAGACTGTAAAGTCGCAGTGTAGCCCTGAATACACAAATCAGACGACAAGTGGGAGAAAATATTAACAATTAAGTGGACCCTGGTATAATAAAACTATTCTTACTCTCATTAGGTAATGGCAAGTGATAAGAATCATTGAGTAAAAGAAGACAAGGTGCTCGGAAACATGGTGCCAGTATCCTGCCATAAGCACTATTTCCTTTTGGTCGGCTTTCTTGGTTTCGGCTTTCTTGGTTTCTGTCTTAACAGTTCTGTGAGAGGTCAGAAGAACAACACCCTGATTTTCACCAAGGAAAACACAATTCGCAACTGCAGCTGTTCTGCTGAGATCCATGACTGTGACTACAGCTTGGCAAACCTCATGTGCAGTTGCAAAACCATCTTGCCTTATACAATACATAGAGCCAGCTACCACAGTGACCTAATAGTTTGGTTCACAGATACGTCTCTGCTTGGAATGCTGTTGAACTTCACAGTGGTGCACTACCTGAAGCTTTCACTCTGTGGCACCACTCCTCTACCAACAGAATATCTGGCCATTTTGGGATTGCGAAAACTCCGAATAAACAGTGAAATTAAGGGCCAATTTCTAGAACAAAATTTAACAATCTACAATAGCGGTGACAATGAAATGAGAGACAAACTGAAAATGATACAGAAAGACAGGCAAATGTTTTTGTATATTTCTGTCTTGGATACATCTCTTTTCAACAGGTATTCTTTACTGAAGTCCTATAGTGTGGAAAATGTCTCCAGCTTTACAGACCGCTTTCCAAGTCTGCCATATTCTGATATGTTTTCAGCTACTACTAACAAAAGCTATGTTGTAACATTTATTTACTGAGACATGCTCAACAACTTCAACAGCAAAGTAAGGGAGCATGTTAACCTGTCAATAGAACGAGATATGGAACTTATGCAAATCTGTTTGGTTTTCCCAGAAAGAAAAGTAAGTGTGGATCAGTGCATATTACACTCAAAATGACACTACTCACAAAACATGGAGTTCAAAATAGTTTGAACAGAGAAGTGATTCTATAACCTTTTTTTTTTTTTAAGAGAACAGAGCATCTGAAAAAATCCATTTTAAAAACGAGGTAACTAAGTTTTCAAAATATCTTAATTATTGTATGATAAAGATTGACATATGTTGATTAATTTTGTTATGAAATGAGCCTTATTGGGTATATGAAAACATGACAGTGTAACTTTGGGTACGGAACTACCTGATAATAAAAATCCATCTGTAATGTGTTTTTACACAGTCTTCTAGATGTAGTAAATATGTGGAAAATGTATAATATGAATAATAGTGAGCTTGTCTAACTATATGTACTGGATCTCTTACCTTTTTGAAGAAAAATACATCATAGACCTTCTTCAACTGTAGTTTGAAAGCTCCCACCATACAGGTATTTTTGGCCTTGGAAAACCATTAGGATAGCGTGTGATGAGTAAGGGCTCCATGATTATCATGGAGGGCGGGGGACCACCTAAGCAGCAGTTGGTGCAGCTGCCCCAGGCACTGACTGCGCAGCAGTCCTACAGGTGGCTGGAGTAGTGACATGGCTGCAGCCCCAAGACCGGATAGAACAGATGTTACTTGGCAGCCCCCGGCAACTAGTGCCCATTCAACAGAGCCTCCTTTCCAGAGTAGCAGCCCACCAGGGCCCCCTAGAGCAGCCCTCAGGGGAGTTCAAAATAGCAGCAATTCCCCCCAAGCTTCTCTCAGAGCAGCAGCTTTCCCAGGGCCCTCAGCTAAGATTTAGTTAGGGATGTTTATAGCATAAGTCATGGACAGATGGCAGGGCTGTGAATTTTTGTTTCTTGCTTGTGAGTTATTAGAAATACCATAAATAAATCGTATCCGTGGCTGTGTCTAGACTGCATGGTTTTTTTTTTTAAAAAAAGTAGCCTTTTTAAAAAAAAAAAACTTCACCTGCATCTAGACTACAGCTGCGTTCGTTCGAAATTACATCAAAAGAACATGGCTTTTCTTTCAACGGCAGTACTCCTCATTTCACGAGGAATAATGTAGCCCTTTTCAAAAGTAGCCCTTAATAATGAGCAGTTTTGACTCCTTACGAAGGCTGTTTAATTGTCAGTGTTGTCTTAATTTGGTGCTGAAGTAACACAAAATTTGGAGATAGACAGGCTTCCATATTAGTGAAAGTAATACTGTTGTCTCCACATATGCAGAAATCCCATATGAAGCTGGCTCCAGTAGACCCTTTTATGGGTTACCAAAGATGAATTGCCAGTGACATACTGTTTTCACAATAAGACTAGGTTAATTATATTACATATATAATAAAAGTATCCAGTGCCAGGTGCCGGTACTGGGTTGCTGAGCAAAACATTGTAGAACAAAACAAAACAAAAAAAGCCTATGCAAATGAAGTGTGGATTAGCATTTTGCAGTGCTTCATTTGCATAATTTATTCAAGCCATTTTTGCACAAGTGTTTTATGCACAAAAACAAGCAGTGTGGATGGGGGAGTGGAGTTGCGTAAAAACCCTGTTTTGCGCAAGATCCTTATGCCACTCCCAGAGGTCTTTGTGCAAAAAAGAATTGGGTTTTTTGTGCAAAACCCCCCCGTCCATACGGCTTGTTTTTGCGCAAAAAACCCTTGTACAAAAATGGCTTGAATACATTATGCAAATGAAGTACAGCAAAATGCTAATCTGCGCTTCATTTGCATAGGCTCTGCTGGCAAAGCTAGCACCGTAGACAAAGCCTTGGCTCCAAAGCTCCATTTGCCCTTCTCCCCGTGACTGGATCATGAGTCCTTACCCAATTTTTAACTCAGTCATTATTCAGGCAAATTCCCCTTGCAACAGCGTGTAAGGCTAGGGTATAAAACTTGAGTAAAACAGAGCAAGAACCTCAGAGTTTGGCCCATCCAGAAGACATAGCTTTTCTTATGCATTTTTTTTTTTTTTAGTTTTTGTGTAGGACATTTCATGTATTTACTGTTAGGGAAGAATGTCTCTTGCTCCACTCATCTGAAGAAGTGGGTTGTACCCATGAAAGCTCATGATAGTATATAAATGTTTTGTTAGTCTCTAAAGTGCTACAGGACCACTTGTTGTTTTTTTAATTTTTTTATACCAAACTTAGACATTCTAAACTTGTCCTTATAACATCCAACAATAACAACGTGTAGACAATAAAGGGACATAACACTGAATGTCCATGGACACATTTTACACCTGTAGTCCAGACATCTAAAACACTACAGGGTTATTACTAGGGCTGAAAATTAATCACTGTTAACTCACGCAATTAACCCCAATAAATTAACTTGATTAATTACAGTTTGAATTGCACTGTTAAACAATAATAGAATATTAGTTTAAATTTATGATGACTATTCTTGGATATTGTACTATATTTTCAAATGTATTGATTTCTATGAATATTTTTTGATATTGTACTATATTTTCAAATGTATTGATTTCAATTACAACACAGAATAGATAATGTACATTGCTTGCTTTATATTGTAACTTTTTTATTACAAATATTTGCACTGTAAATAGATAAAAGTAGTAGTATTTTTTCAGTTAATCTCATACAAATACTGTAGTGCAATCTCTTCGTTGTAAAAATACAACTTACAAATGTAGAGTTTTGTTATATAACTGCACTCCAAAACAAAACAATGTATAACCTCAGAGCCTACAAGTCCACTCAGTTCTAGTTCTTGTTCCTGCAAGTAAGGCCTTGTCTGCACCAAGAGATAAGGTCAAATCACATACATTAAGGTTGATTTTTAGGAACTGATTTTGTAATGGCAAAGGTGCATATCCCCACTGTTTGCAAGACTTCAACGCAGTTCAAAGTAGCGTGTCCCCAACAGGGTGGCTACTGTGAACTTTGAGAGTGATGCAGTGTGAGTAGCTATCCTACAATTCCTTGACCCCTTTGAATTCTGAGCTATGTGCATGCTAGGACAGAAACTGTGCAGCAAGCAGTTTTGGGTACATCATTAGTGTCCCATAATGCTCTCATTTCATTCCTCCCCCCCCCTGCTCAAAAGCAACAGAAAACAGTCTTTTCACACCCTTTTTCACCCTGGTTATCCATGAAGACACCATAGCAGTGTAAGCATAGGACCCATTGTGGATCCTGTTGAGCATCAAAGCATTATGGCAGTCATATTAACCATAGTGAGCCTTATGCTGGAGTATATCCAGAGCATACCCAGGGTCTGTCAGAATGAGGAGGAATCTTGGGAGGCCATGAACACACTCTTCCGTGAAGCACTCAGGTTGAACAACTGGTGAATGCTGGTGGCATTCAATCCTCTGGACACAGTGGAACACTGGTTCTGGTGCTGAGAGACAGGCACAGACCTGTGGGACACTCAACAGTGGATGCAAAACTTTCACATGCGTAAGGCCACTTTCATTGACTCAACAGTGGATTCAAAACTTTCACATGCGTAAGGCCACTTTCATTGAAGTTTATGAATTGTTTCCCCTACCCTAAGTGCAAGAACACCAGAATGAGACCCTCTCTGACAGTAGAGAAGTGAGTGGCAATTGCCCTGTGAAAGCTTGCACTCTCAGACAGTTACCAGTCAGTTGGGAATCAATTAGGAGTGGGGAAATCAACAGTGGGGGCTGTTGTGATTCAAGTAGCCAAGGCAATCAATACCCTTCTGCTGTGGAGGGCAGTGACTCTGGATGTGGAGTGTATAGTGGAGGGCTTTGCTGTGCTGGGGTTCCCTAACTGTGGTGGGGTGGTAGACAGAACACACTTCCCTATCTTAAAAAAACAGATAGGGACTAAGGTGCTGCAAGACTATCTTGGCACCTGACCCCCTTGCCAAAGAATACATAAACTGCTAGGGGTACTTCTCTATGGTGTTGCAGGCAGTGGTGGATCCACGGGCTGTTTCACCGACATCGACATAGGATGGTTGGGAAAGATGACTGATGTGTGCGTGGTGGATCCACGGGCCGTTTCACCGACATCGACATAGGATGGTTGGGAAAGATGACTGATGTGTGCCTCTTTAGGAACTCCTGCCTCATCAGCAAGCTGAAAGCTGAAACTTTCTTCCCAGACCCAAAAAATTACCTTCAGAGGCATTAACATGCCTATAGTGATCCTTGAGGACTCAGCCTACCCCTTGCTCCAGTGTACACAGGCAACCTAGATCACATTAAGGAGCTGTTCAACTACAGGCTGAGCAAATGCAGAATGGTGCTAGAATGTGCTTTGGGGAGTTTAAAGGGAAGGTTCCACAAATAGGTTAGACCTCAGCACAAGTAACATTCCCACTGTTGTGGCAGCTTGCTGTGTGCTTCCTAATATTTGTGAGAATAAGGGGGAAAGTTATTTGGCTGGGCGGGAGAGGGAGTTGAGGCACAGTGTCTAGACAGTAATTATGAGCAGCCAGGCCCCAGGGAAATAAGAAGAGCACAACAAGAGACCCTGTGAATCAGAGAGACTGTGAAAGATAGCTTTATGTTTGGCCAGCTTCAGGGGGCAGGGCGGTACGGTGATCACAGTTGTGTGTAGATGAGCCTTTTGCTTTGGTACGCACCCTTGGGGGTTGAGTGTGAGGCTGGGACTGTGAAAGATAGCTTTATGATTGGCCAGCTTCAGGGGGTGGTGCGGCACGGTGATCACAGTTGTGTGTAGAAGAGCCTTTTGCTTTGGTATGCACCCTTGGGGGTTGAGTGTGAGGCTGCCCTTGACACCCTCTCCTGCCCCTTCCCTCCCCATGTTCTAGGTCCCTGGGAGAAGAGGCTATGGAACTCAGTGAGGAGGGAATGTGGTTCCGCAGGGGCTGGAGGGAGTGCCCGTGCATGTGGCTGTCCTGGAAGGCCAACATGTGCTTCAGCACATCTGCCATGGTCATCAAAGCTCTCTCCTGGTTTTTCACTTCCAGCTCCCTGCACTTTCTCCTGTCCTCACACTCTGCTGGCATCTCCAGCAGCAGCATATTCCTTCACTCGCGTAAGTGCTCCCTGTCCAAGTGGGTGGATTGCATTTGCTCTTTATGTCACCTCTACTCTGTTTTTGCCTCCGGATTTGTGCTAGCCAGACAGCTAAGGGAGTGTTCAACACGCTCACTGCTGTACTTGCTGTAATAAAAAGTGAAGGGCAGACTTTACAGGAGATACATTGTCGAGTGTAAAACCTAATCTGTTAGCATAACAGGAAGGTCTGTCTAAAGACAAGAGGGATGTGTTATGTACAGTTATTGCCACAGTTATGCTTTAAAGCCGCAACTATACAGCCAGTACACCACAGAGTTCTTAGGGGAGCAGCTGGACTCAGTTTTGTGGCTGTGTGATGGGGCATGCCAGCCCCAAACTGGACAAGGGGAAGTAGAGCATGCCTATGGGGTGGAATACACCCCTCCCCTATGTCTCTGCTGGGCATGCTCCCAGTGCAGCCCAGGTATAAAAGCCTGCAGCGCAGCTCAGTTGGGGCTGACCGCGGGAGGGGGGGGAGCTCCAGACAGAGCACCAGAGCAGCCCTTGAGATGATCTCTACCACCTCGCTGGCCACGACTTACAGCTAATCTCACCGCCGTCACCACATACGCAATTGCCATAGTACCAACCAACCTAGCCACTGACACGGGACCTGCACATGATGGTAGGGTCCGCAGTAGCCAGGGGGACAGGGTAGGCAGCAGGTCAGGGCAGGGCATGGGAAGTTGCCCAGTGGGCTCGGTGCATTTCGGGGAGAGCTCCCTGCCGAGCCAGTGGTGGGACCCGCTCATCAGTGATAAGGCTCTGGGTTGGGGCCCGGAGAAGAGGGAAAGGGAAAGGGAGAGGGAGAGGGAAAGGGAGGGCCCTCCCCGCCCTCCCCCCCCAACCTCTTGCTGCAGAACTCCCAGCTCCCAGACTTGGAGCTGAGCAACAGTGATTT